GAAAATAAAGTAAATATCAAAATCCAAGGTATTAAAACAAGGTTATCTGCATGTGCCACTGTCCTTTAACTTTCCTTTAACGCACAGGGTTGGAGCCAGGACCGACCCCTGTGGGACTCCTTGTGTGGCTTGCTGCTGGTTCTGTCCTATTTTTAGAGTTTTATCACTTAAATAACTCCATAATATTGATTTCTTTATTATTTTTTCCTTACATCTGCAATTTTAATTGATTGTCTCACACAAATAATATTTAGTTTTAATTCAACAAGTAAATACAGCAACAATATCAATTTGGTTGTCTCAGGTTGTATTTAGTAGTCTCGAAGAATAAGTTTCTTTGTAGTCTAACATTCTGTCCTGAAAAAGAATCTCAATATCTAGTGTAAAAGAACCAAGCTGGGCCCATAACTTGTTGCTTTCTATTGTGAAAGTTCATTATCCAGGTATTTTTATGTTATATTATATAATAAAAATTCTTTAGAATAAAATTATTTCGTTTTTTTACCTATCTGAGATCACTGTTTCACGTATTGAGGATGGCATTTACCTCAATTTATCCCATACGAGTTGCCAAGGTTGACAATATGCAACAATATCTGTTTTCGTATAAATGTATTTTACCATGAATATCTCACTCTTTACCTAGTTCACTTTCCCATCGATTATTTCCGAAATTTGGCATCGGCTCGTAAATTTTTGTAAATGCCAAATTGCGTGATCTGAATAAGCACTCGATTGATCATTGAGAAAAAAAGAAACTAAACTATAAATAATGAGAATCTCTTGTGGATTTTATTATGGTTCTAAATACTTTTAAATTGGGTTATGGCATGTTTGATCCGAATCAAATATACCTATCAATTTCTCATAATTACTATTAGTTACAGGAGAATTTAACTTCAAAAGAATTTAGATGATTTTAGTAGAATATAAAGTAGTAAGGAAGGAGTCTGGCTATATTTCCAATAGGAAACGTATATTACAAAGTAGTCATTTGAAAGTTGGTTTTTGTATTATAATTTGAAAGTTATTAGTTTGTAATTTTAATAAAATCTATTAAAAGAACATTCCACATACTTGCTTTGAGGTTCATGCCTTATGGTTCGTGGGTTAACTGAAATAAGATACTTGCAAGTGGATGGCAAGGTGAATTTTATATTTATTAATAAAGATGTGATTTGTGAAAAACAAGATGTTATTAGACCATTTTTTAGTATGGTACGCCAACATTTCTTTTATTTGACCCATACATATTCTCATATTCACATTCACATATTCACATTCATATTCACATATGCTCTCTCCTTCCTCCTACCTACTAAAAGGATCACTGAAAGTTTCTTCCTAAGACCAGTAGACAAGCATGAACTAGTGCAAACCATAAACAACATCCAAAATAAATTTTCCTGTGGAATTGATGGCCTGTCCACCAAAATATTTCTAAATATACCGGATGTAGTAATCAACATTTTAACTTCACTGATTAATGAATCCTTTGAAACTGGTCTCTTTCCTAACTGTCTAAAAACAGCTATAATAATCCCACTTCATAAAGGTGGCGACAAAACCAAAACCTGTAACTATAGACCTATCGCGTTATTGCCTACCTTATCGAAGATAGTAGAACGGTTAATGAAAAACCGTCTTTTGCCCTTTCTTTTCAAGCATAACATCCTCACAGCTCATCAGTATGGCTTTCTACCTAAAAAATGCACTAGCGACGCAATGTTTTCCGTTCTTAATGAAATATACACATCACTTAATGATAAACTTTTCACCGCTTCAGTATTTTGTGACTTCGCAAAGGCCTTCGATTGTGTAAATCATGATATTTTAATTAATAAGTTACAAATTTATGGCATACGGGGTTCTCCTTTACAATGGTTTAAAACTTACCTAGAAAATAGAAATCAACAGGTGCGGGCGAATGGTGAGGATTCTACAAATCTAGCAATAGGCAGTGGAGTACCTCAAGGATCAGTATTAGGTCCAATTTTGTTTTTATTATTCATCAACGACATCACAGACTTAAGAATAAGTGGTAGAATTACTTTATTTGCTGATGACACCAGTGTAACCTGGAATAATTCTAACATGCAGACATTACAATCTATCATAAGTGAAGATCTAGTGACTATTAGGTCCTGGTCTGATTCGAATGGACTTTGTTTCAACACCAGTAAAACTGTAGCATTGTCTTACAGAGGTACTTTACAACCTATAACTTTAAACAATAATCTGATCCAAACGGTGACTTCAATCAAGTTTTTAGGTCTTTATATAGACGATTCTCTAAAATGGTCTGCTCATATAGATACCTTAGCAAAAAAATTATCCTCCGCATGTTTTGCCATTAAATCGGTTTCTAAAGAGCTGACACCTTCTACTGCATTAATAACCTACTTTTCCTTATTCGAATCTCACCTTCGCTATGGTTTACCTTTCTGGGGTTCTTGTAGCTTATACCTTTTCGAATCTATTTTTAAATTGCAAAAAAGAGCAATCCGCTATGTATTTGGTTTAAGTAGTAGGACACATTGCGAAAATTACTTCAAAAATTTCAAAATTCTAACCCTTCCTGCTCTATTTATTTTCGAATCCGTCTGCTTAGTTCGCAAGCACATTCAAAATTTATCCGAAAGACCGACTCGTAGATATCCTACAAGAAATTTAGAGACTGATGTTTATTTAACAATGCCCACTTCTGACCTATTAAAACATTCCATTACCTACAATGCCAAAAAATTGTATAATTACCTTCCGATGCAATTAAAATCTATAAATACATACGATAATTTCCGAAGACTGGCTAAAGCTTTTCTTCTAGAAAGACCATATTACACAGTAGCAGAATTTTATAACGTACCTTAGACATTTGAGTTCCACATACAATGGCATTAATTAAATAATTAAATATTAAAGTTTAAATTTAAATTTAAATTTAAAAATTAAATTAGAATAATTATAATGACGGATATTGCATATCCATTGCAATTGTTATTCCTATTTTGTCTGTTTGTTTCTGTTTGTTTTTTCTGCTGTTTAGTTATTTTTATAATATGTTTAGTATTTAAGTTACACGCTTTGTCTATAAAATTTTTGTAATTTTTTTTACGACAATAAAGCATATCTCTCTCTCTCTCTCTCTATTCGAAAATGCCGAAACAATTAATTAGAGATAACTCAAATATAAATATTACATTTATATACAAGAAGACTTAAACCTTCATTGTAACAACCAATTATTTAAAGGACCACCGCTGATCACTATAACAACCAACTAGCCTAAAGATCATTTGTAGTTACTTATAGGTCTTTAGCTACTGTTAAGCATGTGAAGATCCCTGTATTACCTATTATTTTTTCTTTTTGACATTGAAGCTATGAAGACAGTAGAAAAAAGACAGTAGTAAAACTTGAAATACTGGATGATATTATTTCCACAGTAATATAAAAGTTAACTAATTTGTAGGTCAATAATTTTAAGAAATTTTTTACATACATGTGTACATTAAAGCTTTAACAAAATGTGATTTTATTTACACACTAAGGTGTTGAAAACGTTCAAATCAAGTGAAGATAATTAGATTTGCTGCGGTAGTATAGAAGGTTAAATGGCATGTAAAATAATTCTTTTTCAATTTGAGACACATCATAGGGTCCTTTTGCTACGTTCCAAGTTTGTTTGCAAGTCAAACAGGGTGAGAACCCTTCTAAAGATCTATAGTATGAAAACAATTTTAGTCGCCACTGATTCCATTTTATTAGTTATTGTATATTGAAGATGGCTAAAATTTCTATTTTATTGCAAGTTAGTTAGCTTAAATCTGCTTATTTTCTACTTCAGAAACTGTAGTTAAATGTTTATCTTTTTGTTACATCCTGTATATGTACCTCAACGCATAAAATGGTGATTACGATGCTCATGTACATTGACATTTGACATTACTACATAACGAACACGTCGAATTTGTTATTAAAAAAATACAACGAAATTTCTAGCGAGTTGGCAACGATGTCGATTTAGCTCAAAGACCCAGTTTTCCTCAACTAGAGCAATGTCAGTGTCAGAGAGCAAAGAGCAGTAACATCCAAGAAGCCGGGTGTTCGAATATATGTGCCAGTGATGAAATTTCGGGAAGCAGCAGACCGGCGACCAACCAAAGTGGAATATTGATCTATCACAGCGTTGCCAAGTTGTGGCCCAGATTTTCTTAGGAACGAGGTTCGGCTGGAAAATTATTCTGCATGAAACTGATCAAACGGTTTTAATTTTCTAAAATATTTCACATTAATATAAAAAAGACTCAATACTGCTTCATCTCTGTTTGTAGTATTTATTAACACTTGAAAAGCTTTAAAATAAATTTGGAGTTATAGTAAAAGATACCAGATGCATCCAAAATTACTTATCGTGATTGAGCTGAAAATTTTAATCATTCACTAATTAAATTTTAATTCAAATTATACTAAATCATTGTTATTATTTATATTAAAAACAGGATCTAATTGAATTCAGATTTATTATTATTATTCATTATGAAACTTTGAATGGTTCATTTATATTTATAATTAGTAGTTATAGAACAATAACATTTTTTTGTATTAAAATAATTTAAAATAATAGGAAAAATTACATTTGATATATTTATATCCTTAATAATAATGAGATGAAAACACAGATAAATTTTATTAACTAAATGGCCTTGCAAAAACAGTTTTAATAATTTTTATGTAAGACTGATTTTGTGTATTTATCTCATTATTGAAGATAACCATATATAAACAAAAAATGGCGACTTGAACTTAACACTATTTGCAACAAATAACATGACACTAACCATAGCTAACAAATAATAAACTGCCGGAAAACTGATGGCCCATTGCAGCGATTACTTAGATAACAATGATACATTCTTAGCATATTCTTAGTATCTTTTTTTTAGTAAAACAACTGTATATAATTAAAAACATTTTTTATTCGAACCTTTAACTAGACTATGCACAATAATAGAATGAATAGTTATGATGAAATAAAATATCCTATGATCCAACATCTCCCCAGTATTGCCAAAGACCTGTTACTAGACATTTTTAAGGGTATTCTTGCAACACCAAAAATAAATTAATTTAAGGAAGTTGTTGTCATCCCAATTTTTAAAACAGGAAAAGATCCAAACCTCACACAATCAAAACACTGTTTCTGATAGTTATCCTATGTATTTAGTCGACTCAAAATTGAGTAAACTTAGGGATGCAAAATTTCTTTCCACTGATCGTCGAAAGGCTTTTCTACAGATTCCCCTAACTGATACCTCCAAACCTAAAACTGCTTCTTCAGTTTTTGGTGTTGGATCATTTGAATTTACAAGAATGATATTTGGCCTAAAAAATGGTCCTCGGACAATGGCTCATTTAATGGATATAATCATAGATCCCTCTATTCTTCCTTACTGTTTCTGTTATTGTAGCAACTCCTACTTTTGAACTTCATATTAACACTTTGAAAAAATTGTTTATTAGATTTTAAGATGCTAATCTTACAATTAATATGGAGAAAAGTGAATTTTGTCGTGATTCTCTTCATTTCCTTGGATTTTTCTTAGATAAGTTTCTGCAATTTTAAATTATAAAATTCTCTCAAATACTATGGAGATTAAACATCTCATAGGCTTAATAGGTTGGTATACGAGGTTCCTGAAAAATTTCTCTACGGTTTGTTCACCTATTAATAACTTATTAAAGAATAAGAAGAAGGGACAGTCTATAGTATGGACATCAGAAGATGATGCTGTGTTTGTGGATATTAAAAAGATGCTTACCACTAGCCCAATACTTGCAAGTATAGATTATTCAAAACAATTCATTATTCAAACGGATGCTAGTGAAACTGGAATTATATCAATGTGATGGTCTTGAACACCCAATTGCTTATGCTAGTCGTAGCTTAACGACTTGTGAAAGAAAATTATCCACTACTGAAAGAGAATTACTTGGATGTATTTTTTTATCCCAATTTGATTTTACTATTAAGCATAGAAAAGGTTGTTCTATGACAGTGAGTGATTCTTTAAGTCGTTCAGTTAATGATATTTAAAGCTTTGAAAGCTTTGAAAGAACCAATAAGACAATTGTCTCAGCACTTCGCTGTTATATACATGATAATCATCGTTCTTGGGATATATTTTTGCCTAGAGTAGTTCAATCCATAATACAGCCAAACATGAAGTCACAGGGTATTCTCCATCCTTCCTTAATTTTGCTCGTAACTTTCTATTTTCTGGAGATTTTTTATGGTATAATTTCAAATAATTCTAATAATATTCCGTCAGTATCTGTAAAATTACAACGTATCGATGACACACAAAATTTACCTAAATTGTTTATTGATGTTAGGAAAAAACTTAAATCAGTCTATGATAGAAATTGAAAATATTAAGAAAAAGAGATATTGAATATCATGTTGGTGATAGATGTAGTAAAAGTTTGTATACCTTCATTCTTTTTTCAATTATAATTTGAGAATTTATGCTTTTAGCGATATCATTAGATACCTCTGTTTTCACTTTATATTGAAAATAATTTACAACTATAAATATATACAGGGTGTTATTGAAATACACGTACATATTAAAACTGGGTATTGCGCAGATCCCCACTGAATGTAGAAAAATATTATTTTTTAAAAATACCCCTTATTAAGGGAGTTATTAATTTTTGAAAATTAATTCTAAAACAAACGTACTTCACTGATATGTTGAGGATGACTTATATAAATTAGGTTTATTTACCTATTTTAAACATCAGCAGTAATTAATATGCAAGTTTTTGTCAGATGATAAGAAAACTAGTCTTGTAAGAAATAACCATGTTGCCAAGATTTTCGAATTAATTTCTATTTCCGAAGACTGGTTTTTACTACCCTCGTTATCAAAAAACTAGAATATTTGATAAATGATTGTTTTTAAACTATACATTTTTGAAACTATAGATTATTAAAATTTTAGTTGATTTACGAATCTGGCTAACACGAGCGCGTCATTTCCAAGTTGGTAAAAAGTGTTGTTACGATTACTTTTAAATATTTTTTTACGATGCCACTATTTACGAATATTGAACTAACGGATATAGTGCTGGTTTATGGGGCAGCTGGAGAAAATTCTCGGCAAGCACAAATCCTGTATCGCGAACGGTTTCCAAATCGGAGAATTCCGGACTGTCGTACGTTTATTTCAACTGTTCAGCATCTAAGAGACCATGGAAAATTTGAGAGTGTCAATGCAGATCGAGGGAGAACAAGAACACAAAGAACATTGGCGGCCGAAGAAGAAATATTGGAAGCTGTTGAAAACCGGCCTCAATTAAGTTGTAGAAGACTAGGTCTTTAAATTGGAGTGTCCTCATTTGTTGTGTGGCGGACACTTAAAGAACAAGGTTTACATCCTTATCACATCCAAAAAGTCCAGGCCTTATATCCAGGTGATGAAGAAAAGAGAGTGGAGTTTTGTGAATGGATGATTCAAAAATGTGTTGATGTTCCTGATTTTCTAAAAATATTATTGTATACTGACGAGGCTTCATTCACTCGTGATGGCGTGTTCAATATGCACAATACGCATATTTGGAGTGATGAAAATCCTCACGCCATTAGGGAAACTGGGCATCAAAGAAAATTTTCAATAAATGTTTGGGCTGGCATAATAGATCAGTATTTAATCGGGCCTTATGTTCTTCCGAACAGATTAAATGGGCCAGAATATCTCCACTTTTTAGAAGATATTTTGCTAGTACTCCTAGAAGAGATACCGTTACAATTAAGGCAACGGATGTGGTACCTACTAGATGGCGCTCCTCCTCACTTTGATTTAAACGTACGGCAGTTTTTGAACATTAGATTTCCTCAAAAGTGGATAGGCAGAAATGGACCTACTAAGTGGCCTCCGAGATCTCCGGACTTAAATCCATGCGATTTCTTTTTGTGGGGTCACATGAAACAACTGGTTTATAATGAACCTATTAATAGTGTTGAACAATTAACCAATAAAGTTAATGCGGTAACCGAGGAACTACGACAAAATCCAAGACTAATTTCTAATGTTCAAAGTTCTTTGGAAAGACGATTGCAAGTGTGTGTAAATAATAATGGACGGCATTTTCAACAATTACTGTAATAAACTTTATTTTGAATTAATTGGTTTTGCTACGGCAACAGTGCAATTTCTATGGGTAAGTTTAATTTCGATTTATTTTACTTCTTTAAATATGGAAACTAGTAGGTCGGAAAAGGGGACTCTTCCCCAATATTTAAATTTTAGAATTTGAAGTTAAAATTGGTGCCAATCGTTTTTGGCCATTACATACTATTCCCCATTTTAATATGTACGTGTATTTCAATAACACCCTGTATAAATATAAATTTTCTATTATCTCTCTATTGTTTTTTGCTCTTCACTTGAACACGGTGTAAAATAAATAAAAACAAATCAATATAATCACTCAAAACTTTCTCATTTCGAGTGCCACCACAAGAGCCATTCAAACTTTACAACATTTTGATTTTTTTAATCGAATTCTAAAAAAAAAACAATCCGAAAAGTAATCTCCGTAATAAAATAAGTTTAGCAATAAAAGAAAATTGGTGTAGTTGAAAAGTTTTTCAGACATGCACGTATAGATACTCATTTGCGAGAATTTTAAGTTTCTGAAAAGTTCGAAATTGAGCATGGTAACACTTTTGACGAGAGGCAGGGAAAAATTAGGATATTCCTTATATTGCGAAGATAAATTAGACTGCTTTTTATTTATTAACAGAGTTTGGGAAAATAAGAGGTGTGAAATAAAAATTATTAGATGTATCTAGATATTACTAAATTCAGAGTCAAATGTGTTAAAACATTGACTAAAATGTTTATTAGTACCGATTAAGGTAGTTAGTACTTAGTACTTGGCTGAAATAAAAAAGATCAAGTACTTAACGTAGTGTCAGATGATTTTTGTAAAAGTCAATTAATATATGTACCTTTTTCAATTCTCAACATTTATTATTTCCACAAAATGTACTATTTATGTATTTTTTACTGTAATAAGCTCAAAATTGATATAAAAAAAATATTGAAAGTTAATTCTGGGATAGTTTGAAGTATTTACGGGCCAAAATCTAAGCTAAATAAAAATATCAAGCAAAATTTGATAATAAAGAAAAATAAATGAAAAGACAATTCAACCCTAAGAAAAAATAGAATATTGGACACAACAAATAAGTATACTAATTCTTATACATAAACTTTTTTCTGATTTTCTCCGTTACGGTCCATTTTAGAAAAATAATTTTTGATCGTGTGTAATTTGATAGGTTTCAGTTTTATCATTCTATTTTATTATTTTCTTTAAGGTGACTGTTTTAGTCATAAAAATATTTAATAGTTTGAAAATACAATGTTCTTCCACCATAATTTAAAATAAAAAAAATTGGACACTGTAAATAAGTATACTAATTCTTATACATAAACTTTTTGTTGAATTTCTCCGTAATGGTCCATTTTAGAAAAATAATTTTTGATCGTGTGTAATTTGTTAGGTTTCAGGTTTTTCATTCTATTTTATTATTTTCTTTAAGATGACTGTTTTAGCCATAAAAGTATTTATTAGTTAAAAAATACAAGGTTCCTCCACCATAAATTAAAATAAATTAAAATAAGTATACTAATTCTTATACATAAACTTTTTGTTGAATTTCTCCGATACGGTCCATTTTAGAAAAATAATTTTTGATCGTGTGTAATTTGTTAGGGTTTTAGTTTTATGATTCTATTTTATTATTTTCTTTAAGATGATTGTTTTAGTCATAAAACTATTTACTAGTTTTAAATAACAAGGTTCGTCCACCATAATTTTAAATAAAAAGCGCATACACCATAATTTTTCAAGTATATTTAGTACAGTTTCATAACCTAACTAGAACGGATACCCATTAAAACTAAATGTCATAAATCTTGGACAACTAAAGGAATAAGAACATCATCTAAAAATATGAGGTCACTCATGTATATTAAAAAGTACACAGATAATCCCCTAATATTAAACTATATCAACAACTACAGAATATTGTATCGGAAAATCACCAAATCTGCTAAGAAAAACTATTACAAAAATCGCATCGCAAGAGCTAAAAACTCCTCCAAAGAAACCTGGTCTATAATAAATGACTTAAGGAATAAAACCCGTTCTTCAAACAGTGTAAATCCTAGCCCAGATGAACTAAACAATTATTTCGTAAATGTAAGTAAAAATATCAAATCTAACATAGCTCCGAGTCAGGATGCTCTCTCCTTCCTCCTACCTACTAAAAGGATCACTGAAAGTTTCTTCCTAAGACCAGTAGACAAGCATGAACTAGTGCAAACCATAAACAACATCCAAAATAAATTTTCCTGTGGAATTGATGGCCTGTCCACCAAAATATTTCTAAATATACCGGATGTAGTAATCAACATTTTAACTTCACTAATTAATGAATCCTTTGAAATTGGTCTCTTTCCTAACTGTCTAAAAACAGCTATAATAATCCCACTTCATAAAGGTGGCGACAAAACCAAAACCTGTAACTATAGACCTATCGCGTTATTGCCTACCTTATCGAAGATAGTAGAACGGCTAATGAAAAACCGTCTTTTGCCCTTTCTTTTCAAGCATAACATCCTCACAGCTCATCAGTATGGCTTTCTACCTAAAAAATGCACTAGCGACGCAATGTTTTCCGTTCTTAATGAAATATACACATCACTTAATGATAAACTTTTCACCGCTTCAGTATTTTGTGACTTCGCAAAGGCCTTCGATTGTGTAAATCATGATATTTTAATTAATAAGTTACAAATTTATGGCATACGGGGTTCTCCTTTACAATGGTTTAAAACTTACCTAGAAAATAGAAATCAACAGGTGCGGGCGAATGGTGAGGATTCTACAAATCTAGCAATAGGCAGTGGAGTACCTCAAGGATCAGTATTAGGTCCAATTTTGTTTTTATTATTCATCAACGACATCACAGACTTAAGAATAAGTGGTAGAATTACTTTATTTGCTGATGACACCAGTGTAACCTGGAATAATTCTAACATGCAGACATTACAATCTATCATAAGTGAAGATCTAGTGACTATTAAGTCCTGGTCTGATTCGAATGGACTTTGTTTCAACACCAGTAAAACTGTAGCATTGTCTTACAGAGGTACTTTACAACCTATAACTTTAAATAATAATCTGATCCAAACGGTGACTTCAATCAAGTTTTTAGGTCTTTATATAGACGATTCTCTAAAATGGTCTGCTCATATAGATACCTTAGCAAAAAAATTATCCTCCGCATGTTTTGTCATTAAATCGGTTTCTAAAGAGCTGACTCCTTCTACTGCATTAATAACCTACTTTTCCTTATTCGAATCTCACCTTCGCTATGGTTTACCTTTCTGGGGTTCTTGTAGCTTATACCTTTTCGAATCTATTTTTAAACTGCAAAAAAGAGCAATCTGCTATGTATTTGGTTTAAGTAGTAGGACACATTGCGAAAATTACTTCAAAAATTTCAAAATTCTAACCCTTCCTGCTCTATTTATTTTCGAATCCGTCTGCTTAGTTGGAAAGCACATTCAAAATTTATCCGAAAGACCGACTCGTAGATATCCTACAAGAAATTTAGAGACTGATGTTTATTTAACAATGCCCACTTCTGACCTATTAAAACATTCCATTACCTACAATGCCAAAAAATTGTATAATAACCTTCCGATGCAATTAAAATCTATAAATACATACGATAAGTTCCGAAGACTGGCTAAAGCTTTTCTTCTAGAAAGACCATATTACACAGTAGCAGAATTTTATAACGTACCTTAGACATTTGAGTTCCACATACAATGGCATTAATTAAATAATTAAATATTAAAGTTTAAATTTAAATTTAAATTTAAAAATTAAATTAGAATAATAATTATAATGACGGATATTGAATATCCATTGCAATTGTTATTCCTATTTTGTCTGTTTGTTTCTGTTTGTTTTTTCTGCTGTTTAGTTATTTTTATAATATGTTTAGTATTTAAGTTACACGCTTTGTCTATAAAATTTTTGTAAATTTTTTTACGACAATAAAGCATATCTCTCTCTCTATCCATTCAGTAGACTGATATCGTCTACTGTGCAAAAAGTGGATAATATATATGTGGGTGTAAAAAAATCTTAAAAGGTAATATAAAATATAAAATATTAACTCAAATAAGGAATTTCTACATTGTGAGTGATGCAATCAACCTTCATCATCATCTTAAATGTATTCATTTGATCTGGCAACACAGCATTTATATTTAAGCCTATTTTCCTGAATTCTACCTGGTCCCGTCATCTCAAACACATGACACGTGATGCCCTTTTTGTTAACACCGGCTCGCACGTGCCGAGCCTGCTAGATGATGACAGCAGCGACTGCAGAGGTTGTGTCTCCCAGGCGACTTGACTTTGCAGTCATATTTCAGGTGATAAATACGCCGAAAATGAAGGGACTCGCAGGATAATAAATGTACTTATAGGGTGTGCGCTGAATAAGTATGTGGAATGTCGGGATTACGAGATTTCGTTAAAGATAAGGGGCGAAGGTATGTACGCTCAACTAAGTTTTGTTTCTATTGTGGATAATTGAATATAAACGAGCGGAGTTTTATTTTTGGGTTTGCAGAAACGTCGGTTTTATCTTAAAAAGTTATTGGAGCTTAACAGAATGGGCCTCAATTTAAGTTTGAAGCTAAAAAAGAGTTTATTAAAGAAAATGTGGTTTAAATTGTTTTATTTAAAAAAAAGCAGCATGGATCTTTTGCAAATATGTTCACTCCAAATATCGTTTTCCCAGATGGGGAAAGAAAACCGAATAGAAAACAAAAGACAACGAAAATGGTCGTCTTTAGTTACTTTCATGACAACTTAAATATCAGTTCTGTTAAATAGGACAACGTTACAACTAATTACAAAGGTATGATACTTAAATTTTTTAAACTTACCCCCTACATTGTACACAGACACAGATAGTCTGATTTATGAGCTTTATCAAGATCCGTATGAAGTTATAAGGCGTGATTGCCATCAGCACTTTGACACCTCAGACTACCCAGCTAAAAACATCTACGAAATTCCACAGGACAATAAAAAGGTGCTAGGAATGATGAAAGATGAAAATAATGGTGTTCCAATGACCGATTACATAGGTCTTAGGTCTAAATTATACTCTACGAAGGTTTTGGTAACAGATTACGATATTATGAAAAAACGATTGGAGTTGGAGGAGAAGGAGTATGATGAAGACGAGATCGATATTATTTTGAAAAATGTTGGTGTAACAAAGAAGGCCAAGGGCGTAAAGGGTTCTGTGGTGAAAACTATTATAACATTTGATGATTATATGAATTGTCGAAGACTGTTTCACAAAATTTGATACGTTCTGACAAACATCAAGTGTATTCAATAGTGCAAGAAAAAATTGCCCTTAGTCCCAATGACAATAAACGATATTTAGTTGCTGGGGCTAATGAAATGCTACCATTGGGGCATTATTCAATCGAGGATGAAACTGATATGGATGTTGATACAGCCTTTTGATTATTCCTCAAACATTTTTATACATTTAGATTTTCTATTTCTATTTCTTACATCTACAGTTATATATTTTTATTAATTAGTTAGTATAAGAGACAATAGGATTTTTGAAATTTGGCATCTATGTATATCTACACGTATCGACGGCCAACTCTGACACGTTGCGATAAATTTGTGGGGTTTGTCAGCTTAAGGATTTGGAAGGTTCGAATTTTCAGACTCCTTTTCAATCTTTTTAATGGCGTAGCCCTTTTGAATACATATTCTTAGAATATTACAGAGATTGTAAGCCATAAAAGTATAGGGGTTTTAATATCTGATTTTTAAGTTCTTGCAGTTATGTAATAATTGGCATTATTATTATTAGTAAAATCTAAAGAATCCACAAAAATCGCAGAAGTAATAAATGTTTTAACTAAATATTTAGTGTTGTCCCATTCCCTAATAGTATATTGGTGATAGTGATCTAACTTAGTTAAAGATTATTTGTTTTTCTTGTAGTTCCTATGATTAAAATTAACAAAATATTTATTTTCGCATATATTTTATCAAGAAGCAGTAAATAGAGTTTTTTATACATAATATTTACTGTTCAACTTTTTGCGGAAGTTCATATTTAAACATATTAACAGAAAAATCAATAACCTAACTTAACCTAAACTAACCTAGACATTTTGACGCAATATTAACAATTATTTCTTCAGCCTTTAGTGATATCTGAACAGCAAAATGTTGCTAAAGTACTTTATAAGTGATAAAGTTTTTTATAGTCTATTGCAAAACTATATTTGTCTAACATATCTACTTAAAATTAAAGCAATATTAATCTCTTATATTCGGTAGAAAGTTTCGACCTTTTTTTAACAATTAAGGCCACCATGTAGGATGTTCAGATGCCTCATTGAGTCTTGTTGTAGTGTTTGAACTCGAAGGGAGCAGAAAATAGCCGGCGACACTGTCGGCTAATTGAATTTCTGAATAAGGGATCGACATTTACATAAACGATCCTCTCGTAATTAGAACACTATGTATTAAGGACTGTCACAAGAGATGGATTGGAACATGAGTATGTGCATAGTCTAATCGGATATAAATGTGAGATAACGGGTTTATATATAGTTTCAATTTTTTTTTGTAAATACGATAAAATATAAATATTTATGACCTGGAGATCGGAATCTGAGCATTTTAGTACGTTACTGACAAATATAGACTTACTTTTTCTAACAGTAGGTTTTCTTTTAATTTTGTCACGCTCCTCATTATTTATCCATTTTCTTAGAAAATGGGGTACTTCTCTATTAAATCATTGCTTCCAAATTTTGATGTGCCAATTAACTCCATTATATAATAATAATAATGTTTATTCATAATAAAAAATATATACAATAATTAAAAATACATACAATCAATCCAATTGGATGAATAAACCTAAAAATATCCACTGAAGTATTATAAATACTTGTTTGTGGTAAAAAAAAATATGATTATTAAAAGAACATATTTAAATACATATATTAGAAATGCATTAAATAAAAACTTGATAAAATATATAATAATTTTAAGTTATACATTTTTTTTTTTAATTTTTTTTTTTAATTTTTTTTATATATATTTTTTTTTTTTTTTTTTTTATTTACTAGGCTACATAAAATATTAATTAAAATCATTGAAAGAATAGACTAAAAGAAAAATTTTTATTTTTTATTTTCTATTTTGTTCTTGTTCAACTCTCTATTATTTTATGAATATCTGTTCTTTCACTTTCTTTTATGAAGAGTGTAAGTTGCTTTTTAAAGCTCTTATAAGAAGTTTCCTCTGTTATTCTCTGTGGTAAGTAATTGAACAGTTTTGGACCTAAATATACATAGCTTCTTTGTCCTACAGATTTCGAAGTTATTGGTATACAGTGTAAGTGTTTTGTTCTTGTTTGATATTGATGGCTTAATCTGGTAAGTTCATTTTTGTTTTTGTACTGTTGACACCCTAGCTGGATACTATATAATTGCCTAATATCTAACATTTGTGATTCACTATAGAGAAGATTGCTTGAATGTCTTGCTGTTTTATTGAATATTATTCGAAGAAACCGTTTTTGAGAGACTTCAAGTGCACGAAGGTAAGTTCTTGATACCCCTCCCCAACCAATAATGCCATAATGAAGATGTGATTCAACCAAACTATGATATAGAATTTTTCTATGTTTATATTCCAAAAATCCTACAACTTGTTTAAATTTAAATAAAATACTACGTAGTTTTTTTGTTAAATAATCTATGTGATAGTCCCATCTGAGATGATTGTCTATATATATCCCTAAGTATTTGATCTTTTTCGCAGGTTTTATTGAAAAGTTTTGTTGGATTTTAAGACTGTATTCCGGCAAAGATATGTCATAGCTACTAAAAGGTATGTATAGAGTTTTTTCAAAATTGATTGAAAGTAATCTACTATCAAACCAGTCTTTGAGTTTATTAAGATCCTTTTCAATGCTTAATTTTAGATTGTACCAGTTGTTACTCGTATAATATATTATAGTGTCATCCGCAAAGCTTATAATTTTACCGATAGTATCCTGTATGAATAAATTATTTAAATAACTTACAAATAACAACGGCCCCAGCACCGTCCCTTGAGGTACGCCACACGTGATTTCTACCTCTCCACTAATTATATTTTTAAATTTTGCTTTTTGTTTTCTGTTTGTTAAATAACTTTTAAACAACTTATGCGCTGTACCTCGTACACCCATATCTTCCAGTGTATCTAGAAGTATGGAGTGATCCACTGTGTCAAAGGCTTTCTTTAAATCCAGAAAAACTGCTATAGATGGAGTGCTTGAGTCTAAAGATTCATAGATGGTTTTTGTTAAAGAATGTATTGCATCTTGTGTAGATTTATTATCTCTAAACCCATACTGCGATGTTGACAGCAGATTATATTTGGATAAAAAGGCATTTAGTCTAGTTTTTAAAATTCTTTCAAAAACTTTGCTAACTGATGACAATAACGAGATAGGCCTATAATTCGTGACATTTTCGGTATCTCCACTTTTAAATATTGGGGTTATTATTGAGTTTTTTAGAATTGAAGGAAAGTAGCCTGTTTCAACTGATTTATTAATGATGTCTGTCAAGGGTTTGCTTATAGAATGTGAAATAATCTTTAACGTTTCAGCTTTTATTCCATCCTCCCCAGGAGATTTATTATTTTTTAAACCATGTATGGTGTTTTGTACCTCAGTTATATTTGTAGGGTTAAGAAAAATTGAGTTATTATTAGTAGATTTTTTACTTTTATAGTTTGGATTTTTATTTATATTTTTTGCTAAGTTTTGTCCTACATTGGCAAAGAAGTTATTAAATATATTTGCAATTTCATTAGGATCTGTAACAATTTCATTTTTTTCGTTTTTAATGTTATTTATTTGTTTTGTTGTTTTAATACTTAATATTTCATTTACCGTGTTCCAAAGTTTTTTACTTGATTTTTGTTCATTTTCTACTAATTTTTTATAATATTCCTTTTTTGTACTTTTTATATTCTTTTCAGTTTCTTTTTTATATGTTAAATAATTATTTTTCATATTGTCGTTATTTGGATTTTGTTTACATAATAAATATAAGTTATTTTTCTCATTTACCTGTTTAATTAGTGACTTCGTAATCCAATTTTTTCTTTTTCGTTCACTATTTTTTATTTTAATATATTTAGTAGATTTATGTATGCAAGTGTTTATTAAATCAATAAATTTCTTTGTTACAGATTCAAGATCCTGTATTGGGTATAATTCAACTTCCCAGTTAATACGTCTACTAACTTCTTGTAACATTGTTTCATCTATTTTTTTTAAATATTTGTCATTATTATTGTGCATGAGATTACCATTTCCTTTTTCTAATACAATTTGTAATAAAGTTATGTAATGATCAGTGATTGTAGTAGAGAGAGTGATTGGTATTAGTTTATCATAATTTTGTTGTTCTGTTTTTATAAATATATGATCTATACATGACTTAGATCCATTTCTTTCCCTTGTCACAGTATTTATGGTTGATTGAAACCATAATCACTCATCATGTCAAGATAATTTTTTGAATCTTCAGTTTTCCTTAATAAGTCAATGTTTATGTCTCCTATAAATAAACTATGATGAAAGTTATCATTGCCTTCATTTAATATATCATTTAGTTGGTCTAAAAAATCATTAATTCTACTTGCTGGAGATCTGTAGAAGGCATAAATGCCAACAGATTGTCTACCTACCATTAATTTAATTTTAAGTAAAATACTTTCATTTAGTTGAATTTGGTTATGATTCTGGTACAGGTTAGCTTTTACAAAGACAATAACACCATCATTTTGATTGTATCCACCTTCACTATAAAGGGTTATGTAATTAGGCATATCAAGGAAAGAGGTATCCGGAACCTGCCAAGTTTCTGTTAAAACTATGCATTCAAAAGATGTTCCAAGTCCTTCAAGAAAAATTTTTAACTCATCTATATTTTTTGAAACACTACTAATATTGGTATTAAGAATTTTAAAATTTTTAGAACTATTATTTATAGATAAAACTTCTTTTGCTTCATTGGCAGTGTTTAGAGAATATGTTGATATTTTTTCTACTTTAAAATCTCGTATATAAGGATCCATAAAGATAATGAATTGTAACTATTGATTTCATACAAAGAAATTACAGTATAAAATAATTATCAATCTACTACTAAGTATTTTAACAACGAATAATAAAATCAATACATGAATTAAAATAAAATAAAATAAAGTTTGTTTAAAATATCTAAAAAGTACGTACTTAATTGACTACGATTTAAACGG